TCAAATTTGACAAATTCCCCGATAATCACGGCCTCGCCTTTGGCGAATAATTGTTCAAAGCCAAAGGCGCAATAATAATCGCGTGTAGTTTATACTTATACGTGATAGTTTCTCAATATTTTGTATTTGCCAAGATACTTTTGTCACGTACAAATTGTTTCTATAAATCTATTATCTATGCGATAAAGAAGAAGTTCTGCAGTATAAACTGTACTATACATACTATAAATACAAATATTAAATAAAAAATATTACTGAGATGATCCTGTTATCCCACAGGCTATATCTATGAAATTGCACTGGTATACCTATATAACTGATAGTATTTTTTACCTTGAATATTATTATCATGCACAAATTTTCGTTCTCTGTTTAGATTTTAATTAATATAATTATACGAAAATCTTAAAAATAATATAATTTCAAAATCGAAAGTCCAAAGTCCAAAGTCCAAATTCCAAAGTCCATAGTCCATAGTCCAAAGTCCAAAGTCCAGTCCAGTGTTTACAATATGCCACAAAATTTTAGACAATTTGCTTTAGTTTAAGTCAGCTATTTGCATCCTTAATTCATGCCTTTGCCTAATTTGCATATGTCAGCAGCATGCAAATTAGGTAAAGGCACAATTAATTAAGCATGCGAAAGGCGGATTTTTTAGGAAAAAATGAACAGCTAAAGGGCTTAAACCGAAGCAAATTATATGAAATTTTGTACAGTAACTGAAATCCCACCAAATTTTCCATCTATGAACTCAAAATATGATTAAAGCTTTTAAATTTCGTGCGCAAGCCATTTTTAGTTTGTTGGAAAAGACACCCCCCCCCCTGGTTCACAAAATTTGAATTCAATAAATATTTTTCATTGTTCTACATTATAAGTACCCAAAGAAGCTATATACTGAATAAAAAACTGGATACTAGTAGCTGTTTTTCAAAATTGAGAACAATTTCAAATCTGTTCAGTACACCCTGTAGTAGTCAGATAGGTTTCAAGCTCATAGTCTTCCTTTATGCTCGTGTAAAAGGTAAGTTTGGATGAGTTTTCAAGTTTATGCCTCCGGAATCTCTGGTAGTTTCTTTTAGTAAAATTTGCAACGGGTGGCCCCCCAAAACAGGAGTTTGTGAAATTAGACCCCTTTTATTAGTAGACATGGATGGGGAAAATGTTTTTTAGGGTTAGGGTTTGGGTTTTTAACCCCTTTTTTTAAGGAATATGGTTCGAAAAATCCCCTCATCCCGGTCGCTTGCCAACTTCTTTTGGAAAAAATAGGGCCGCACTTAAAAATTTGACGGGAGGTCTCAGGAGGTTGCGTTACGCCACTGGCCGCCTGGTATTTTGTACAGTTTTCCCGCAGGAATGAGACCTCTGTATGTATACTTACTTTGTGCTATGGCCACCGATTTTCTGGCTTGGCTCCGCTTTCGGTTTGGAATTGGCTAATAACGTAGTGCTGCAGAGTTTTACAGCATTTTCGAATCCCTCTGGTGTAAACTATTCCTTATGTATATCATTAATAATTCGTGAGGAAAATACAAAAGAAATGAATGTTTAAATTAATCAATGTTTGTAAATTGGATAAAGATTTGTCCTGATTTACATAAACTTCAGCTTCGATTTTCTCGGCTTAAGGCTCTTTTCCGGTCATCGCAAAAACCAACTAGCAAGCTCGCTGCGAGTACGTCCATGCAACCACAATGCTCGAAAGTTTACTTTAATTAGATATAATCAATCGCAGCGAGCTGGCGAGTTGGTTTTGCGATGAGTGGAAGAGCCTTAAATTAAGACAAAGTTTATTTTTAAAATTATTTCGCCAATGAACTCACAAGATGGGTCGTTTTTTAAGCACGTTAAAGCATTCGCATCCCATTTTTATCTGATATGTAATACTCTATTCAACTTATTTCTAGTACTTAATTCAAGTTATTACTACGAGTTTGATATGTTGTTAATAAATATTATATACGCTGCTTCAATTCGTAGAATAAATAAATGTGTTTTTTCTACAACACGTACACAACAATTAATTTCTCATTGCCATTGACTGCTGCAGCAATAATACCCATTTAACTGTTTTCTTTTTAGAACTAATTTGTTCGGACTATAAGTATATTTCCTGCAGCTACCCTGAAAAAATTCGTGTGCATGACGTCATATATGGTCACGTGGTAGGACGCAATGAATGTAATACGCAGCCTACAACTAACTGTACTGCTCCAAATGGATTTTGTGAAGTTGCTGAGCAGATAGAAGGAAGGACAAATTCAAAAGGGTTACATCCAAATCGGACGATAGACCCTCCCCCATGTGGAGGAAAGGATATATACATTATTGTCAATTATTCATGTATGAAGGAACTGACGCTATCAGGTAATGTGTTTGTAATTGTTCTGCTTGTGCAAGCTGTGGAAGCTGAGGAATAATTCCTGGTATCCGCTTCCGCGATAAGTCAGTTTATCATAATCACAGTTTATCCGTCCTTCATCCACAAGCTCTTAGTTATCTCAACAAAGAAAACTCGAACAACAATTTAAGACAATGAAAGGCTCTAATGGTATTTACTGAAATCCAATAAAGATTACTACAAAATTTAAAAACTATTTTACAAATATTGGACCTGCTTTGGCTAATGCTATTCCTCCTATTCACCTCTCCCATACACAGTTTTTAACAGGTTCCTATAATAACAATTTTTCTTTCCCCAACTAGTCCTTCAGATATTGCCTCAATTATGCTTTTTCTTAATAATACCAAAACCGAAGGTTATGATGGTTTATGTATTTCACCAATTAGAAAATCTATTGATATACATACTTGCTGCTCCTTTATCATATATCGGCAATCTATCTTTCTCCAGTGGGGTTTTTCCAGATAAACTTAAAATAGCTAGAGTTCTGCCTATTTATAAAAATGACGAGGCCTCTAATTTCACTAACCATAGACCAATTTCTATTCTTCCATGCGTATCAAAAGTTCTTGAGAAATTATACTATTCAAGATTATCGGGACTTTTCGACCTCCTCCGCAGGCCATACAGCCCATAATGAGTATGCCCGTTCGCAGTTTAAAATTTGAAATCTGCATGAGACGAAGGCTTGTGTAGCTGTAAGACCTGCTGAATAACCTGTCGATTACTTGGATTATAATGACTCGGTTGGATCAAATTTCTTCAAAAATATGGCACATCGTCTGCCAATCTTTAACAATCCTGTTTTGCGAGTATTTTCCAAATATACCTTGGCAGTTATGGCTTATTATTACATCATTTGGCCAAATGGTATCTTTTGACTATATACACACACACATTTAAATAGTTACACTGTATGAAAGACAAATATAAATGGAATAGATTTCGTGGATACACCGCATGCCTGACATACGACCTGTTATATAAAAGCGTATTTGTCTGTTTTGGAATTTAATAAGTAAATAAACTGATATTTATCCGCTTCTCTTTTTAAATAATGTATGCTTGTTTGTTCAGTATTCACTGCTTTTTATATGTATATTGCGGATACGAAAAGCAGCCTATATCAAAAGTAGTAAAAGACTTTAATAATAAATAATAAATAATTGGATTAATTAATGTTGCTTCCGCTATCTTGGAAAATTAGTCCGCAGGCCTTTCCGTTCGTTCCAATTTTTGCCTCCCCATATTTTTGAAAGGCCTGTGGAGGAGCTACAATCCTGGACAAAACATCTGCGACACTTCCAATTACTTGTCAAAATGTCGTAAAATTATCGTAAATTTAGAAAACGGAGCCCTTGCCCCCACCATTCAATGATGACTGCATTCGTAGAATACGGACAAAACGTCCAACATTGTTTTTGGGTGTACGGTGGTAGGGGGCAAACGAGTAAATTATTCCAGCTCAGTACACGTGGGTCAGACAAGAAATGGAAAAGTTTTATGATGAAGATACCGCAATATTTGAACTTGTATTTCTCTTCCCTCCAAATATACCATTTTCGACCATGAGCAAGGAAGAAAAAGAAGAATATACAAAACCAGGCCGAAAATGAACTGACCAAGAAGGGATATTCAGGAATCAGGGAAAAGATTAAAGATATAAGGCAAAACTTTTCTCAAACAGTGAGAAACGGCCGACGAAGTGGATGCGGAAAAATCGTATTCGAGTTCTACGATGAATTAGTTGTAATCTGGGGAGGTTCAGCTGCCACTAAGCCCCTTGAGTTTGGTGTGATATTGGATAACTTCCAGTGTGCAGAGCAGGAGAGTGAGGACAATACCCTCAAGAATTCAGTAGTAGTCGAAGTTGAAGATGACAAAGTAATCAAACAGACAACTTTAAATGTGCATGACATGGCAGATTTTGACCTCGATATTGACCAGCCTGATGGTAATATACACGATGTAATCCAAAAGAAAAATTAGCAACCAAATCCCACACCCCATTGACAATAAGCGACAGCACCTTGAGCAGCCTTTCTCAGCTGCGCAGAGAGATAAGCTGTTACTAAACGAGGCAAAAGAGGATTCTACATTGCGCAAAAATTTGGCAGAAGCAACACGGCAATCGACAGAATCTTTTGCAATTGTATTAAAGGATGTGAGCATTTCTATCATGGATGTTGGAAATGGTATTTCTCGATCTATGGAAATGATGTCGCAAGCTATTATGGCTCCGGCAATGTCCAATTCTCAGCCTCGGGGGCCATTTAATCAAAATCTCTTTACCAACTTGGTGAAATGTCACATCCACCCCCAGTGTTTCAAACCCACAATGGTTTGTACCCTCATAACCCACCATGTCCAAGTAATAGCAACATTGAACCAAACAATGAATAAACAGCTTGTTTCTATTTACATCTTACAATTCAGCTAATATATAGAGCAGCAGACTGTTGCATATATTTGAGTTTGGAATGTTAAATCGATATTGTTAGGGTTTTAATTAATAACATCTGTTATTCCATATTATGTTGAAGCCTGGTTTTCACTAAACTGAGCATGCTCACTAGTGAGGATAGCCAAAACATGGAGCGGAACCATAAGCCCAGGATCCCACATATACAATTAATCACTACAAAAATTTCCAAAAACATTGGAATAATTGCAAAATCTCGTCATTCTCTTGATAGATCAACACTCTCAGTACTATACAATTCTTTAATCTTGCCTTATTTACAGTACTGCACTATTATCTGGGGATCATCTTACACAACACATCTTCATCCTTTACTTCGATGTCAAAAAAAATCATGAGAATTATTACACATTCTCCCCCTCTCACTCCTGCCAAACCACTCTTTAAGGAATTAAATATCCTCACTGTCTTTCAGATTTATGAATTTCAACTTTCGTGTTTTATTTTTAGACACGTTAACAATCTCCTTCCTTCACCCATTTCTTGCTTATTTGAGTTCAATTATAACATCCATGATCATTTTACAAGGCACAGACAGGATTTGCATATCATTTCCCATAAATATTCTTTTCCATTCGTGCGCAAGGCCCGAAAAATTGGAATTCTATCCCTCTTTTAATTCGGCAATCATTGACAACTCAAAATTTTAGACGTACTCTAAAGAACTACTATTTAACTTTTCAGAATGGTTGACATGTGCATGTGGAATGGCTCTGGGATAAAAAGAAGGACTGAAATTTGGCTGTATATATGCTGCATATACTGCTTTCTATAAAGCATGAATTATCTATACTAATTTAAATGCTTTTTCCGGTTGGGTTTTTTTTTTCCTTTTTTTATTATATACTCAGTTGGAATAATTCATACTTAATTCTCTGTACTGACCACGAGCTATACTCCTAAATAGTTTTGCCAAATAAGCCTATGGTTTCGGCTTTATAGTCTAGGACCTGTATATGAGTTTGTATGCATTTCATTTAGCACAGGTAAACTCAACTGTTTTAGGGTAAAATGACCATGGCGGTCAACATGGCATATGTGCCAAAAGCTGAATCCGGGACGAAAGTCCTGAAAATGACCCCGCCCTGAAACGGCAGTGTCGACATAGCTCTAACTTCAGAAAACAAAAAGCGATAGTCTTTCTGAAGTGCTTATAGTGTTTAGAAGGGTTGCTTTTAGGGGTGGTCATTGGAAGAAAAAATTTGTCTAAGTATAATATTTTACAAGAAAATGACCATGCACCACCCCAGGTAAATTGCTGATTATGCATAAAATAACTAATATGCCTGGCAGAAATTAAATATTCTTATTTCCTAAAAAAAATTATCATGGGGTTAAAAACTATGCTTAATTTAATGTAAATATTGTTGATTTCATAAGGATTGTCATTGTTTTCTTTAAATATAATAAATTTTATTTCACTTACCCCCCACGAAAACGCGATTTCAGCCATATTTTGCCGTCTTGTTTGCTTTTTATCGCCGAATCACGCAAATATCATCCAGTTATTGTACTTTTACATAATCATAAATGGCTGAAGATGATTTCAAAGAAGGTTTCATCCACTTTTGAAACAGTGCAGTGTATTTTATCTTCGATAATGTGTCCTTCGATATCTCGTCAAATTGCCGCCATTTTAATGGCTCGCCGCTTCTCTGCCCGATAAATGCTACTTCTTCGCTTTCATATGTATTTAGATTACATTATCCAAGAGTACTTCATTGTAGAATAGTCCCAATCCAAAAATTGGAAATATTATTTGTACTTGGGAGGAAAAAACCTCCCAGTACAATTGTCCTGTTAGAATTCAAAAGAAATAATTTAAAAGTCACGCGCAAGTTCGCGAAAACACCTCGTGGGTTACATAACAGGGGGGGTGAATATTTTCACGAAACGTTTGTTCGCCACCACAGCAACCTAACTAAATGTATTATATTTTTTGTATTTTTATAATTGATGATAAATATA